CGGGAAATGGTGCTTCATGAAGCCATCGACTTGCCAAGCGACTCAGCTGCCACCGAGCTGGTTAGCGACACAGCAGTGGCCGAGGTCCAGAACCTTGAATTGTCCGTGGACGTTGGTGCAGTGGTGCGAAAGGAGGGCGAGTTCCCTCAAAGGGCTCCCGAGCACGGTAAAATTTGTGAATAGGACCACTCGCATATCTGTCAATAGCCAACTCTGTGTTCGTCCAAATTAATGTCATGGGCTAATATACCTATTACCACTGGTTAAAAAACAATTGTGGCCTATGGGTTGTTTTCTATGTTCTACAGGTGTGAGGTTGTAAATGTCCCTGCCCATGAAGCCTTTAAAAGTCGTGCACGAGAAACGACTTCTTGGGAGGTCATTGGCCGCTTTACCGAAGAAGTCGTCAAGTGTAGGGTTGTTTAAATGGGTCCAGATGCCTCGCCTTTCCCAGAGAGCTGTCAGGTTTTGAAGGCTTGTGGAATAGATAAGGAGTAAGGTCTACGGAAACATTTGGCTACATCTATTGAGAGCGTTACTGCTTTGTCTGATAGGTCTGATGACGATGGCGAACGGGATGTCTTGAAAGACCCGTGTCCTAAGTACATCGCAAATGACACATTCAACAGTCGGGGATACAACTTTTCTGGGAAAAGGGCAGACAGTTATTAGCCATTCCACTACGGGGTTTGTGCTCACTCCTCACACTTGTTCGTGGGTGTTTGTGCAACTGGGGCTACATCATGTTTTCGCGTTTCGTTGCCTACTGAGGAGCTTAGCGCTACGGACTTGAGAATRTTGCGAAACGTCTRTGGAGATTACAGCAACGGCCACGAGGTGGTGTGCTCGGTTCGCAAAGGGGTCAGTTCAATTCTGTTGAGCAGAAAAAGTCTTCAAACTTCTGTTGGCTTTCCGACGAGGTGGTGGAGTCGTACTTGGCGTTGCTTGTCAACGCTCCGTTGCCTGGGTGTCCCTCTCTTTACACTTTCAGTCCATTTTTCTATACCAAGCTCGTCCGTGGCGGCTATCGACATG